TCGCTATATCCATAAAAGCTTGCACATTGAGGATAAAGTAACTGCTTTGATTCATAAACAAAGACTGCTATATTACCCACAAGGTACAAGTCTTGCTGGCGTGTGGCGCGAATACCAGTTCGATCTAACTAAAAACAATGACGAGCAATGGATTCGTGAGGTCTTTTTCTTTGACGAACAAAGAGAGCATTATCTCATTATATGTTGTACTTACGAGCAAGCTAAGCTTTTTCAAAACGTACAACATCTTGAAATGGATCTTGCTTTCAAAATGGTTCAAGGACAGACTAAAGTGTTCTCAATTTCTTCGTGGAACGAACAGGCAAGAAGTATTAGTCTACCTTATCCTGAACATATGTTAAACTTATGCTAATTATAAAAGGTCTTAATACATACGCCTATGCTTTTATGAACCTTGAAACCCGTGAGGCGTATCGGGTTCTTTTTCGAAAGATCTTCAAGATACTTGGCGATGTTGGACGGAAGCCTATTCGATGGGCGTACCAGCAAGGTGGTGATGATCATAGTGACGGTATCCGTACTGTTACAGTGGATATGTGCAAAAAGCAGGCACCTGGTATGTGATTGATATACTAAACATATGTGAAAATTATACTAACTAGATCATTTATTTATAGGGCTTGGAGACTATCTTGCTGAACTAGATCCTCGCTGGATATGGTCAGAGCATTTGCAACATGTTCTAATCCTTTGCCAAACACATGTTAAACGGGCATTTCGCAAAAGATTTCCTGATCATGAAGCTACTGCGGCAATTGATCTAATCTGGACTGCAAATTCCAAGGCAGAAGTTATCCAAATCATGGATGATGTCGCGGAAAAATGGCCAGAGACCCAGAAGTGGTTTGCAAATAAGAAGGTTGACTGGATTCTTGCTGGAATCACGTCTGAAGCTTCAAAAATCCCTATTAGATGGTGGACAAATGCTCCACATCATACTGGGATTAGCGAAAGCAGTCATTTTCATGATAATGAGGCAATTGGCCGGAAGCAAGCTCTATTAACTGCAATTCTTCGGTAAGTTTTTTATATTAGTATGTTTCTATTACTAACATATATTATCTAGATGTAAAAGACATACTCGGGAGATGGAGAAGAAAAACAAACTTGCAATTGAGGAGGGTATCTACCCTACTTGGCGTTCTTTAAATCCTATTCATCGGATTGCAAAGCAATATCGAAAAAAGGGTTAGTATTTCTTTGTTACATATGTCTAACTTATGCTTATTTTATTCTAGACAAACGAAACCGTCACTCTGCAAATCGTCGAACTCGGAGACCATATCTTCCTTGGAATCCAGCCAATCCCTATGATACATTTGATCCAGCAATGCAGCCACCCGAGCCTATAGGTATCTCTGATTCTGTTTCAGTCGCTACTTCAGATACTACCGACATAAGCTCAGTATATGGTCAAGGTACACCTCAAGCGCAGTCGATTATCTCTCAATATAGAGGTAGTTCAATTCTATCTGAATCACCTAGATTAGCGCCACAGGATAGTATATCTCAGCAGCTTACTAGGAATCAGGTTCTACTTGATGAAGAGGCAATTTTACGGCAGGAAATTGCAGATCTTGAGCGAAAACAAAGGATTCAGGCTCTTCAAAAGAGAAAAGAGGAATTACTACGCAATTTGCATAGTTAATAGAGTCAATTTTATTTATTTGGATATTTTTTGGATACGTTTAACTTATGTTTATTTAGATCCAAGTGTGCAATTTGCATATGGTCAATGTATTATCATGTAGAAATAAAAATCTGCAAGAAAAATACTACAGCGATCTAGGCCACGGACTCGAAGGCACTGGAACTGCTAACGTCTCCATCACCACCCTCTACGTCGTCCCCATCGCTCTCACTATCATCATCCTCCGAGTCTTCATCGTCCTCAGTGTTATCACCAACGAAGTCTGGATCGTCAGATTCGTCGTCCTCAATGACACTACCCATGTTACCTCCGTTAGAAGCAGCCGTAGTAGGTCCGAAGCCAGGGAAAGGAATAGGATTAGCAGGGACATCGGGTCCACGCTGTATAATATTAGCATAAGTCAGACATATGTAAAAATCCAACTTACACGACGGCTCCGATGGCCAGAGGTTGGGGTTGAGGGGACTTGGAATCGATGAAAACGGGAGCCATAAGTGGCTCTGAACTTCGCGTTATTGGCCCTGTAGATATAATTAACATATGCTTAGTATATCCATTCACTGAGTTGCACTTACGCAATACGCTCCAGAGCATCGCACCAAAATCCAACAAGGCCATTATCAGAGCCACGACCAGGCTCATGCACGTAGCTCGCATTTTGCCAGCCAAGCTGAAGGATCCAACGCTTGATGGCGTTGTGGGCAGAAATGATGTCCTCCCTGCGCTTGGCACGACGATCAGGCATAACGACTATTTGGTTGGTGCATTGTAAGCATAAGTCAGGCATATCCAATCCACAAGTACTTACGAGCTCCAGCATGCTCCTGGCGTATGTGACGACGCATCGAAGGCCCATCTGGCAGGACCATACCGCACATCTGGCGTGGAGGATTGACCAGGATATCGCAGCTGTTGTAACTCATATTAGTATCCGCCATACATATGTGGAACGTATCCAATAACAACGTACACGCCGATGTTCTCCTTGTTGAGGACAAGGGCCTGGTTTGGAGGGGGTTCGCCATGATATCAGCCGCCTTGATATCGTACTTGCGGATACCAGCTGCCATCGCTGTGTGGTATGCAATAGGCTTCCACCCTGGGTTGTTGTCTGGGATTGGGCCTGGATATGTTTATTATATGTAAATAACACGTCCTGTGTCCACATACCATGAGCGTAACCCGCGAAGACCTCGGGGTTTACAGCGGTCAAAACCGTGTTGTTGTCAAAATCGTCCTGGGTTGGACCCAGTCCGGGGTGCAGTGCCAGGTTCGCCATGTTGGTTTCCTGGAGATAGTTAACATATGCCTGACGTATGTAAAAACGCATCAGAGAGGATTGTAAACAGATGTTCATACCTGGGAAAAGAAAATGTGGGTGGTGAAGAAGGAGGGAAGTGGTGGTGTGTTGTTGTTGATAAATTATATATCTCTCACTTTCTTTGTTGATTTTCCTCATGACCCTTCGAATCATTTAATATTGCTTTGTTTGTTTGCAATTTATAACAAGCAAGGCTATTTTGGTCGAATCCTTTTACACCCTCTTAGAAATCTAGACATAAAGCAATAATATACAACATGTGTATAGTGATGTATTAGGATATAGTGCGTTTTAGTATTAAGTGGGTCAAAGCTTTAGGTAATATTGTATAAAAGTCAACATAAATAGATAAAATTGAGGCATAAAAGCTGAACGGGACCTGCACAAAGCCAGGACCCGATGAGGTGGCAGAGCTGAACGGGACCCGTCATTAGTCATATTTTCACGGGTCCCGTTGAACTTTTCACGGGTCCCGCTGAGCTGGAACCCGGTTTTTAGTTAGGGAGAGAGTTTAATATTACCGTTCTGGAACCCATACAATGTTGGTCACTAATTTCTGTTAGCCCTTCCAAACTTCGCTGGCATTCTGCCCTCAAAAAGCAAGTAGAACAAAAGAACTGTTCTTTCGCCATGTCCTTTTCTATAGCCTGCAGAGCACCCGTTTATTTCTATTCTTAAACTAGGCGGCCTTTGGTGAACTTATTATTGCCAGTGACTCCGACCGTGGTTTATGATCCATTGCCCTGCCCGTGTCCGTTGAGAATGCCTCAAAGCTTACGTTCCGCGTATGATTCTCACATAACTTACACTGGTTTAATTGGCTCATGACTTTATCTTTCCCGTAAGCTGGAGAAAGGCTCCGCGGGAGATTTAACCGTGCAAAGTCTAACAACGCCAAAGAGTTTATGCTGAGATTGTTGCTGCTCTGGTCAAGAGTAGGGCTGGTGTGTCTGGGAAGTTGGAAATAAATCGGTAAAGGAATGTGAAGAGCTGGTAAAGTGGATCCAACAACGGTGTTTGATGGCTATTTGAACGTATTAGCTAAGGATACATCAACTGTATTAGGGTCGATGATAACAAACAGGCAATCATGTGATAGCAGGGAGAGTGGAGTGCTAGATTCGACGAAATGAACACGCGTTCAACTGGATTTATTTCAGAAATTGTTTGTAGTTTTGCACATCAACTGCCCCATGATCTCGAGCATGACCAAATATGTAAGTTGTCAGGCCAGACTGGTTGAATGACAGATAAATAATCATTTACCTAGACACTAATTGACCAGGGAGTAACTACCAGTCGAATCACCACTCCTTTCTATGCAATTTGGTTACCAACATCTAATTACCTGCTCCCAGCATTTTCTGTCCGCAATATTCTACTTTTCCACTTTCCAGCCAAATGGAATTCTTTTAATTAAAGTAGCAATTTCTTCTGTGTTATTGTTCAATTTTTATAAGCTTTGAGGCTGGCTATTCAATTTGGGCGTTCACCTAAGGGTAACGGATGGGTCATCACACCCAGCCACCTCCGCTCAGCCCCTCTTATTCCACAGAACTGAACTCTCTGGTCAAGCGAATAGTTTATTTGATAAGAAAACTGGTGGGTGAAAGATTTTTGCAGATATCTTCACCAGTCGGCAATGCAGACGCTCCTGTCCTTGATGTTGACAGATGTTCAGCCTTGTATGGCGTCTACCTCCTACCCTTGGAGGTCTCCAGGTTTCTTATGGACTAACAACGACACGCGTCGGCCTTTTTGGAGGAGCAGATAGCACATGTTGATTGTGTTTAAGGCCTGATAACAGAGATAGTCATTCATATGGGAGACTTCCTCCGCTTACTGTCAGGACGAAATAGGAACATCAGTCGACTCGAATTCTGCAGCAACCAATGGGCAAGATGCCATGATTTAATTAAGAAGAACGCGCTACATGTACCTACATGGCTTCAATCGATTCTTGATTCACCATGATAGACTCGCAAGACATCAGAACAGCCATCCATTTCATGCGCTAGAGTTTTCCTCAATACCCCAAATGGTGTGCCAGAAATCACTGACGAAAGGACCGCCTTCTTCTAAAATTTCTCGGAAACATTCATTCTCACCAATTTGACCAAGAACAGAAACAACGTAATGTGTTACAAAATTCCTCATGGCATCAACTTTTTCACCGCAATTTGGCGGTGTATTCATGTAGACAAATCGAACAAGTTCAATGATACCACTCACTCCCGTATCATAAAGTTTGAAGCTTTTTAATGTCTGATGCAATTTGGAAAGTACCAGCTGGCACAGTGAGTCTATGCAATATTTGTCGGCCAGCATGTATAGTTGAGCTTGTTTGAGAAACACAGGGGTGAAGTCTTCCCAGGACCCGGTATTCTCAGGTGGTGTGAAGTTATAGTTTAAGTCGGTGATTTGCGGACTGGGAACGACTAGGCTCCGTTTAAATGCGTCGAGTAATTGCCCAGTCCAGACGCTTTTCTCTTTATATGGGATTTCTGGATCGTCGCAGGCGTCTTCGGATGGAGGCGCCTCTGGCACAGCCTCCGGCTCGGGTTCCGGCTCGGGTGGAGGTGCAAGCTCCATTAGAGAGTCGTTCCAGTTGAAGTTTGAGCGGTTCTTTTTGCGTTTCCTCTTCTCCTTTGGGGTCTCTGTAACCTTTGTGGAAGGAGACTTGCCATCGATCAAGCGAAATGTCGGGGGTGTGTAGTTTCGAAGGTATGCAAATTCACATAACCGAGCAAACGTGTCCTCATCGACATCCGACCAGTCAACATGTCTGGATTTTGCCTCGATCATTTCGCCGTTCATTAGAGTATCCAGGGGCTGTGAGAGTCCTGCCAAAGCAAAAGAATGCACGGTCACTTCCTTCTTGTTTTCACCAACAGTAAATGTGAACAAGCGGGAAGAAAGACATCTAAAAGTATTAGACCAATGTCGTTCAAGCTTGCCATAGATTACTCACCTCCCAAAAGAACCCTCCATCTGGAATGATGATTGCCAGAGACGCAGATCCAGAGACAACGACTTCGTGCCGACTGAATGATGAAATTTGCAAGAAAGTTTCTGTATCTACCTTTATTCCAAACGAACGAGCGTTACCACCACCTTCGCTTTGCGATGTGTCTTGATTTGATTGGTTAAAGTAACAAGTAGCTCGCTCATCTGCATGGATCTGAAATAGAAAGAAAAAGGGAAAAAAAAAAAAAAAAAAAAAAAAAAAAAAAAAAATCCAAATTACTCTCAGCACGAGAGCTCAGTCATTAGCACGACTAACGATCCATTTTGTGGACCCTGCAGATTGCTCAAGTTAGCCGGTTGAGGATAAGAGTGCTCGACCGGTATTCACAAACGGACCGTGGGAAAAATAAGTATAGAGACAGTGCGACCAGAAGATCGCACGGACCTTAAGTTACCAGCCCAAGATGGATCTAGATTACATTTGTGATAAATATGACTGGTGTTATAACAGGAATATCCTGTATAGCTAGGGAAATACAATGGATGTACTAGGCGATTGGCGCAACGGAATCAAAAAGGGGAACTACCCAAAAATGATGAGATCAAAAGAGTGTTGATTCCTGTCTCCTATCTACTGGGATCGAGGGGGTTAAAATAGCCTCGAGAATACCTGGTATCGAATCCTCTAGAATCCCAGAGGTACCGTTTGGGTCAATACGATGCTGATCACCATTTTCCTGACATATTACAATCAATGATAACATACAATAGCCCTATATTACATCAATTACTCACTACCTATGTACAAGCTTTTCCACCTCTTCCTCATCTTCACTGCGCTGTCACCGTACTGTTAGGGAGTGTGATGGTCAGATTCTTAAAGTCCAGAGTAAACGCCCCCTCCTTCATCGAAGGATGGGTGGAATTCGTATAAGGATCAACTAGATATCCCTGGATATGATCCCCAGAGGCCATGGCCGAATTGAGCGAGCCAGTCTTCTGCAGAATGTACAGCACAGCAACCTGGGAGAACTCAACGACTTCTGATGGAACAGCCGTCGCAGTCGCAGTAGATGCGGCAGCAGATGCCTCGGCGGTTGAAGAGGGCTGGAAATTGATCATGGTGGCCGTACCGGTGGCCGTTGAATCGGGTGCGTGATCTGGTTTGATGGCTGACATGCTTGGTGCTGCGTCGTCGCACAAGATACCGTTGACAGTGGCTTCGGCGCGAGATGCGAGGACGGGCGTTGGGCTGGAAGTCACGATAGGAGAAGAAGCGTAGTTCTTTTCGGATGGGATTGGGTCTGCTAACATGTCGAGAGAACGACGGCTGTTGCTGCTGCTGGTACTGTTGGTAGTCTCAACATCACTGAAAGCAACTAGCGCATTCTCCGTCTTGCATGAGATATTGTTCATGCTGAAGAGGGCCATGATAGTGTAGGCGTCGAGAGTGATATCAAATTTCCTCTTAGACTCATCGAACAAATTTGCGAGTGAGCTGCCCATGGTTGCATTCTTGGTCGAAGTGCCGCTCAGGATGGCGTGAGTGGTACAGCTACCGTCATTCTCAACGGTGCATTGCGAGCCGGTATAGCCATTCGAGCAGACGCATGAGCATTCACTAACACTCGAGACACTAATGCCTCCATTCTTGCAGGGGTTGCTGTTTGCACAGGCTGCGTCTTTGTTCGCCTTTTCGCGAGGGACGGCGAAAAGGAAGACTGGCAGGAGTACTGCAAGGATGACGATGATGAAGAAGATGATGAAGATGATGATGCAGAGAATCACGAAGACCTTGCGGGACATTCCGAGGCAGGTCTTCTTGCGCTTGGGGGCGTTTGGCTCGTCGTCGTTGGGGTTGGGTTGCTCGATGTTACGCAGTTTTGAGCGGCCGAAGAAGATAGGCCAGGATCCACGGCCTTCGGGAGTCCGTAAGCTTGGTGGAGGGAAGGATGCGAGAATATCTGACAGGGGGGACAGAGTTGCGGCGGCGCTTTTCACCATTTCCTAGACATACATTAGTATTGCTCGGATTTTATGTCCATGCACAGATACAGGATTATAAACTCACTCATCGCAGACTTAAATCCTGCCTCACCAACTGTAGCCAAATCAGCCCGGCTGGCAGTCCTCCCATGGTCCAAGTTCGACGCAAGCTTCGTTGCACGACGGATCAAATCAGACAAGCTTGAAAGACTTCCACGAGCCTCTGCGTCCCGCAACGCACCCATGTTCAGAGCAGGAGGCTTGCGACTTCCGGGTCTCTTATCGCTCATAGTAGGTGCAGCTCTAGGCAGATCCCCACCGAAGACCTCAATCTCCTTCTGTAGAGCAGCACTGTATGATGAACTGTGTTGTTCGTGCTGGGTAAAGGGTCGCTTTTCCGGGTCAATACCGTTCAAAGAGTCACTCGATGCGGTAGATGTAGACGCCTTTCGTAAATTGCTTGGTGGATAGAGCATTTGGTTGGCGGCAGCTCCCGCTCCCACTCCAGCGGCTGCGTCTACAGCTGCAGCCTTGTTTGAGTGCTCCTTTGGGGTGGGTGGTGCATCTGGAATAGCAACTACAGGCGTAGGATTGGACTTTAAGATCGTGCGCATTGTTGGCTTCCCACGATTTCCAAGACTAGCACTCCGGACAAGGGTTGCATTTTCCTCTTTGGAACTTGGGCGAGGCTCGTCATCGTCTGATTCTATGTCAAGATAAGCACCCAGGATCTCTGATTCCGGAGGGCCAGAGCCCCAACTAGACGGGATCGCTTGGCTGGATGCGAAAGAGCCCTTGGTGAAACGGGGATCGGTAAGATCCTCCGGGATGGGAGCCACGGACGATTGAGCTCGAGGGGATCGTCGAGCATTTGGAGGCGTGACCAGACCTGCTGTCCGCTGGAAAGGATCTTGGGAACCATGGGGTTCAAGCGGTAAGGCCGGAGGAGGGAATGGTGGCACATCTGGAATTGAAGCCGTCGAGGAGGCGGTCGATTGTCTGAACAAGTCATCGGTGGCAATCGAGATGCGAGGAGACATGTCGACTGTACTAGTGGGACTAACGGGGGCTCGGCCTTCAAGGGCCGCCGAGGTTGCAACGGCGGAGGCGGCTGCAGCTGTGAAAAAGATCGGGGAGGGCTTGATGTAATGTTTGAGCTTGTTTCTGAGTCCTGGCCATCCCGTTCTGAATAGATTGACGGTGAGGGAATTTGGCTCTGGCGCGAAGGCATCTCACTTGGACGTGGCGGACTTTGTGGAGGAGGTCCTTGTGGGAGCAAATACCTTGGATGGTGGTAGATTGGATTTGGCGGTAAGCCTGAGTCAGGCAGAGGGCATTGTGTCCGGTGAGAAATGTCTCTAGGTAGAGGTGACTGTCTCATCAGGTTGGATGGCGATGCTCGTTCTGGACGCACGCCAGCCTCAAGCAACTGCCTGGCGTGCTTGACTGACCCTTTCCTGTCGATATCCCCGGACGGACGAGGACCCGGTCCGTAAGTCGGTGCACTCATTTGGTTACTTTGTTGATGTGCCAAGTCTTGGGTTAAGTGTTGAGCAGGATCTCCTGTGTTGTTGTTGACGAGAGGTTAGGGCTTGTAGTACATCTAGCAACTTGGAACTGCGGCTCAGTAGAAAGAATGTTTTCATCCCCTGATTAAGAACTGAAAAGGAATGATAACTGGCTCGATACCCTGATCGAGTGAAGAATGAGAGAAAAAAGAGGCTTTGAATAGCGAAAGAGAGGAACTGTGACAGCTTGAAGCATGTGTCTGATAGGATGCAGATAAAATGATCGACCAAAGACTTGATAACCACAGGGTCAAGCTTAAATCGCTAAGGAAAGGAAAGGACATTCAATGCCTCTGTTAAATAAGGTCAGATCAACCTATCCCAGTGTTTTTCAAGGCTTACCACAGCATACCAATAAAAACGAGAGAACTGAACCACTAGTATCAAACCGCGTTCAAAAGGCAAACTGGCGTTCCATTACCCCGAGAAAGGGAGAACAAGAGACAGTCGAAAGAAACGAGTGTCCGAAGAAAAGAAATAAGAGGATATCTCTTGACGGGGGCCCTGACACACTCCGGCAATATCTAAAACCCCCGGCATTAACTAAACGGGATTTTTTGCAACCGAGGTGGAAGCTGGCGCAATTAACCTTTAAGAACATGCTCCACGTAATATAACAGCCCACATTAATACCCATATATCAGAGCAGAATCCTGCATAAACACAGTGCTGACCGACTGGTCGGCTCCTACGACCAGTCGAATTTGCAGCGAAGCAAGCATCCGGCAGTTGATGGACCGCAAATATAGGAAAATGGAGAGCTAAGCATGAGACTTTAGGCGAGCCAGCCGACCATGATGGGGCCAAATGCACGCATCGCACTGTCAGATCTCGAGGATGTTGCGCCAGGGGTTCATGACAGTAATTAATTTCCGGTAGATAGCGTCGCGAGTTTGGGACAGCCCCAGCGTAATCTGAATCGTGCACTGACACGCTAATGAGATAGTGTGGCTGACTGGGGAAGTTAAGACAGATACGAAGTAGACACGAACTAGATATCGATGATCTACGCATGCATTGAACCGAGGAGTACAATGTACCCTGATGCTTCCAGATCACTATGGACAGCAGTCTGAATTCTCAACTGTTGATTTCATCTCGCTAGTCTCCGGACTAATGAGGAGCATCAAACAACCTTCCTTATAGGTGCTCGACCCAGGGGTCTGTTCCGCCCCTAGTCCAGCGCGGGTTTAGCGTCGTCCTTAACATCAGAACTAAACGCCTCCAGTTCCCCGTAAACAACCGCCTTTGGGCCATTGGGGGCCATTGGAGGCACTTGGTCCCCCTTCTCTTCTTGCTGGCCCAGTCGAACCCCTGGGGCTACGAGGTACACACGCTATAACCGGGATTAGGTTCACTGCTTCTTACCAGGACACCGGCAGCTCATGAAAATAAATAGAATTGGCTTTACATCAAATGAATTCAAAGCTTTAAATAATGGAAGCATTCCCCCTTCCGCTTAACGTCTAATTTCGGTACAGCAAGTGGCCATTGGCGTTGTCTGGACTTTCCTCGTGGATGACGTTAGCGGTATTTAAAACTGACAATCTAACACACTTTTCGAGAAACCACTACGGAGCACATGATTAGCCAACGCAGAATGCAATTTTAATTAGCTGTTACATGACGCCATTTTCCGGGTCATTTTCAGAGAGCGCGCCTTTCTGAAGCGTAATCTAAAATACCTAGGAAGCCGATAATGTCTAGATTCCAGGCAACAACGTAATTTTATATCTTTTGCGGTTATTTATATGCAGGCCTCTTCCCAAGAAAGTTCTCAAGTAAAGAAAAAAAAAAAAAAGTGACCTGTTTTAAGGGCCTGTAACTCGACTGTATAGCGGAATTTTCTGCGAGAAGGTAGCGGAGAGAAGATTAAAGAAGCTCTGTCGGCTTGAGAGGTATGAGGACTGTAATTCGTGTCAGGATTTTGCGCTTTGACGTGCTCGGTCGTTCGCTATGGATGGGACCAGCAGGCGTTTTATCTCGGTGGTTCGCCCCGTTCGCTCCAATTGGTGCCCAGACGGAGGGCAGCGAGATTTTTGGATTCGCTGAGCCACGACTGATCTTTTCATGAGGTTCCAGCGTTCCAGCCCGTCAAAAGCTTCGAGAAAGCTTGTTAACTTGCACGGGAAAGGGAAAGGTCCGCTGCTAGCGTTTCACTTTTACCCTCACCCTAAAGGACTCTGACAAGGCCGACAAGCTCAAGAGAGCCCGCGCCTAAGTACGTATCACCAGTCACAAGTTTCTCCGTATCTGTGATCTAGAGAAACTGAAATGGGGGATGTATCTAAGATGAGCAGAAATACAACCATATGACAAAACCGAATGCCCAGAACCTCAGCTGACAACCATTTTGTTCCTCAAAAAGCTCTCAAGGCTGACGACATCTCCAAGCGTGGCAAGAAGAAGGCTCTGCAAGATCACAAGACCAGACTGCTGTGGGGTTTTATTATCTTTTTGTATCTGTCGTGCGCTGGACGATGAGAACGCCACAAGACCTTGCTTCTCTCCCGAGAGAGATCATTCTCCTCACGGCGGAGAATCTCAACCCTCGTGACCAATTATCACTCTTACACGCTGTTCCTGACCTCGTACGAGTCTTGACATTCCGACACACTTCTATTCAGGATGAAAAAGGGAACACAATCTTACACCTTCTCGCAGAAGAAGCTGAGGGCAGACTGAAAGAGCTGCTACTAGCGAAGAATAGTACTCAAGTGGACCCGAAGAACAAGAATGGTCAAACACCACTATCGTACGCAGCTGGGTGCGGAGATGAAGAGGTGGTGAAGCTACTGGTTGAGCGAGATGATGTTAAGGCGGACTTGAAGGATGACGATGGTCGGACCCCACTGTCGCATGCTGCTGGGGGTGGACATAAAGAAGTGGTGAAGCAACTGGTTGAGCGAGATGATGTTAAGGCGGACTTGAAGGATAGTTATGGTCTGACGCCGCTGTCACTGGCAGCCCTTTGTGGTCATGAAGAAGTGGTGAAGCTACTGGTTGAGCGAGATGATGTTAAGGCGGACTTGAAGGATGACGATGGTCGGACCCCACTGTCGCATGCTGCTGGGGGTGGATATAAAGAAGTGGTGAAGCTGCTATTGTGGCGGGATGATGTGGAGGCGAACTCGAAGGATAGTTATGGTCTGACACCGCTGTCACTGGCAGCTGTGTATGGACATGAAGAAGTGGTGAAGCTACTGGTTGAGCGAGATGATGTGGATGCGGACTCGGAGGATAACGATGGTCGGACGCCACTGTCACTGGCCGCCCTTTGTGGACATGAAGAAGTGGTGAAGCTACTGGTTGAGCGAGATGATGTGGATGCGGACTCGGAGGATGATGATGGTCGGACCCCACTGTCGCATGCTGCTGGGGGGGGATATAGAGAAGTGGTGAAGCTGCTACTGTGTCAGGGTGATGTGGAGGCGGACTCGAAGGATATTTATGGTCTGACGCCGCTGTCACTGGCAGCTAAGTGTGGACATGAAGAAGTGGTGAAGCTACTGGTTGAGCGAGATGATGTAGATGCGGACTCGGAGGATAACGATGGTCGGACCCCACTGTCGCATGCTGCTGAAGGTGGACATAGAGAAGTGGTGAAGCTGCTACTGTGGCGGGATGATGTTAAGGCGGACTTGAAGGATAGTTATGGTCTGACGCCGCTGTCACTGGCAGCTAGGTGTGGACATGAAGAAGTGGTGAAGCTACTGGTTGAGCGAAATAATGTTAGGGCGGACTTGAGGGATGAGTACGCCCTGACACCACTGTCATTGGCACGGACAGAAGCGGTGCTAGAGCTTCTAGCTCCCTGTCGTATATAGCCAGCGAAAATTCAAGCAGATATACGAGAGGAAGGTCAGGCTCAAGAACAGCAGGACATGATACCTGACGTAGCATTGCAAGTGCGAAGCGATGCAGGCTCACGGCTTAATGTGAAGACACAATCTCTGTGAGGATGTTGCTCATTCACTGAGCTTGCTTTCTAGTAAATATATCTTCGGTGCACAGCAACCTTGTCAGCATTAGCGACACCAGTGGACAGAACAGCAAGTTATTCCGCTTTGTATCTTTGCAGGGGTGAAGACTAAATTTATAGAATAGCAATTCACGCATGAGATGATCAAAACATGAATCAAATATTGAATAGCTCCCAGTGCCTCAATATAGAAGACCGTAGAATTGACAGTGAGCCAATGTTTCTTAACCGACTCAACTTCACTCATTCTCAACACAAATCTAGCACGTCTCTCGGTGGGCATCTAAATTGAATCAAGGATTTCGCTGCAAATAGTTGCCGTAGAACGAAGGTGTGGGTAGCAACAGACCTCACTTAGGATAGGCATCGTGCCCTTCAACGTTTACTATCTAGCAGAGCACGTACGCGACAGGAGCCAAGAAATCTATAAATACGTCTTCTCCCTCCAGCAATTTGTTCTACAATTCTATCACTTGGCTACGCAAAGTCGAGCAGGCCTTGCGTTTGAGGTGCCTGATAAGTTCTTCCCTTCAACCCTACTGGAATTTCCACTGTACTGACATCTATGATACATCATGGGCCGACAAGCTAGAAAGTGCTTGTAAGAAAGTGATTCCCACCAGGGCCACTATCTCACCCATGCCAGCTGATCAAAGAAGCAGATTGGGGTTAGCTGGTGAAAGTATCTATGCGAACATCTGTCCACCATAGCAGCCAACCACTGTCCCACCCCTAAATACCGATGCAAAAGAGCGGTTTTCGTACAGGTATGTAGATTTCAACGCGACCCTTTCCGAAACTGGACTGACTTCAAAGGCGATGCGAACCAAAAAACCCATGCATTCCGTCCAATGCACGCGCAAAGCCATGGAGCCCTTTCCGGTCTTCTTCAGGACATGGAAGTCCTGCATTGTCTCGTCGATCGACAAGCTAGTGATGGGCAAGAAATCGTTGACAGTTGTTGTAATATGAGGCTGGTGCAGATCAGGAACCAAGCCGCACCGTCGGAATTAGCTCCGAAGTGTCTATACAGACGACCAAGTTGATTGAAAATCAACTTGGCTAATTGTTGTATATATAGGCTCATGTATCCCTCTGAAATAACAAGTCAACTCATACCTCTGAACAACAACAACAATGAACTAGAGTGAGTCCGAACTAGCAATTCTCAGTGCTCCGGGCAAAGTCATGTCTTACTGTTGTGATATGAGGCTGGTGCAGATCAGGAACCAAGCCGAACCATCGGAATTAATCCCGAGATATGTATACGAAGAACCAAGTTGATTTGGAAATCAACTTGGTTCTCCTCGTTGTATATATAGTCTCAAGTTTCCCACCGAATAATAAAAAAATTAATCTTCCTTTGAACTACGACACTTACACACCAGTTCTGACCCTGTCACTTTGGGAGTATGCAGGGGCGCAGTACGCCTGTGGCCTGCGTTCCCGAACCAACTTCATGATCGCACACAGTGCGCCCTGTATTTAGCCCATGGAGCTGCTTCATGAAGAAGCAGTCATTAGTTCATCTACTCCTACATGTAATCCAAAATGTATATAACTGCCTGTTTCCCTTTGCCAAGGGAAAAAACACAAAAATACGATTATTCTGTTTTCTGGTGGTTTAATTACATCCAATTGTATTAAAAAGAGGAAATTGAACATGCTGCTTACATTAATCTTGAAGAGGAAAGGAATCTACCTGACCCGCTGGAGTTCGTATATTCTGTGAGCACATGCATCACGTGATCCAGACCAGGCTTCGGCCCGTTACGAACGACCCCAGTGGTCTGCCCACCTGGCCAGAACGAATATACCTTATCTCACCGCAACAAAAATCTACCCTAAATCCAATCATGCCTTTCTACCCCCAAGGCTGGACCCATGACAGGCTCCTCAATGCCAGCGGAGAAGATCTTATGGCCCTCTCAGAAACCCAACGCACCACTCTCTTCGACGGTCTGAAAGCCACTCACGGCGAAGATGGTTTTCGCGAAGTCATGCAGGAAATGAGTCGCCGCTACCGGGCCCGAGTTGAGGCCGCCAAGTCAGAGGAAACCAAACAGCAAGAGCGGGAGCTCCTCGCCCCCTTTGTCCAAACCCTGAATTATGTCTTCCGAACCCCAGAGACTGAGGAATGGGGGAAATGGGGATTTGTGGTGTTTCGCACTACTCCCTATGGGGGTGAGCATGAGATTCAGTGGGCGGAGTTTCGAAGACGATGGGATGCGGTTATCGAGGAGGGGTTGGCTCCGCATCGGGGCTTGTTGGCGAAGGTAGACCAGGCGATTGATTTGTTGGAGTTTCAGTGGGTGGAACAGCCCGGATTGGAGGGCATAGATGCAGCGGAGGTGGCAAGGTATGTCTCTTTATTTTCGATTCTCGATTTTTATCTTCACTGGACTGATATATTATATCATACGAAGACGCTTCAATGGAATGGCCCTACCACAGGGACTCGCCACTTCCGCTTGTCTGATGGTAACAACAGCTTCTATGGAGTCTGTTCTCTCCTCACCACTTCCTTCTTCCGCGCCGCGCCGTAAACGCCAAAAGATTCCCTTTGTTGTTTCGGTATCCCAGGGAACGAGTGCCCCGCGTCTTCCACCTTTGCTAGGCCTAGGTGATGAGGATGTGGCCGGGACTGAATTCAAGGGGTATCTTAATGTGGCTGTGGAGACTGCCTTGCAAGAGTTTTACCCGATTGTCGCGTTGCAGATGATGGATCTGCATACACTGACGACGAAATTCCGTCATGAGAATGATATCTGGTGTTCGAGTGATCGGTGGGGGGTGCACCATTATGAGGAATTGTAAGTTATTGCATTAGTTCATGATGGCAGATAAATTGGAGTTATTACTGGTAGCTTTTTTACTCTACTTGGGCTGTGAATAACAGCAATGGCTTATGATGTCCAATTGGGGCTCTGCGAAGCAACACTACATCAATCTCAAACTGTTGATCCCACTATGCCGCCCCGTCGCCGCTCCGTCCCCCTCCTCGCCCCCAAACTAGGCTACATTTTGCGTCGCCGCTGCATACGCCCTTGCCAGATTCGGCGCCTGTAACCCAGGCCACCCATACGGCACACCACCAGCCTGGAAACTCGCCATTGTTTGAGGCACTGCAGTAGCCGGGGATGAGATATCTCTTTTGCCGCAGCCGTAGCAGTCACCGATACAGTGGCCGGAATGGAGGGGGAAGCCTGTTCGGCGCCATTGACGCAGTAGGCTTCACCAAGGGCGAGGTTGGAGCAATTGGAAAGGAGAGCTGGATTCCAGAGTTGGAGCTGGGCCATGGTGATGTCGAATTCGCTTTCGATGAGGGAGCAGTAATCGCCAGATTGAATCACATAGTATCTACTGGGTAGTCAGTTTTATCTATACGGGGGTTAGAGAATGGCAGTTGAGGCAAATAACTCACTGATAGCAATCAGAGGTCGTTCCGACAGGGGTCGTGGTTGGGGCCGTGACGATTGTAGAGGTCACGGTTGCGTTCCAGTCCTTTGTAGGTAGGATGCAGTAGTAGACGCCAAGCTCGAGATTTGAGCATGTTGAGTCGATATCAGGATTGATCTCTTCCAGAAGAACAATGGAGATGGTCTGATTGAGCGAGATAAGCTGGCAATTATCTCCCTGTTGGTGATTTTGAATGAGCATTTGTAGCTTTTAACAGTGAAGGACACCAATCAGTACTTACAGCTTGAACCTGGTAGTATTTTCCACAGTCAAGTGTCGTTCCGGTAGCAACAGGACTCGGTCGAGAAGCAGTGGTTGTTGCATAGATGCCCGTCTGGGTAGCGGTGGCACCCGCAATGGTGGTTAGGTTCTGGACACCGCCTGGAGGACTGACACAGATATTCTCTCCAGACAGCAGATTGGTGCAGTATGAACCCAAAGAAGGATTCCATGCTACAAGCTGCTGGAAGCTGGTGCTGGTGTTATTCGCAATCGCGTCACAGGTGTCGCCATTTTCCACGTTATATGTGGTGCATTGGGGCGGGATACAAAGGACCTAAGTACCAAACAGACGCTTACGTTAGCTTTCCAGAATACCATAGATAGAGTAGATAAAAATCATCCTACCTGGCCAATCCCTAAGTTGGTGCAGTCAACATAGAGATCATTGATCGCAATAAGTGTGCCTGTCGATACGCCATAATTCTCGGCGAGAGCTTCACAGCTGTCACCACTAACTACAGTATATGTGATCCCAGAGAGACATAGCGCAGAAGATGTGGAATATCGGGGTAGTGCAAATCCTCCAGGCTGCGTCAAGTTGGTGTCCAGCGCAGGCACTGCAGTTGGCTGACTCAAGGAGCATTGGCTCTGGATGTTACTCCATACGTTGGCCAAGGTAGGATCATAGTTTGAATAAGGGGTGCTCTGCATTAAGCTGAAGAGAGCTACCACACAGCTGGAGCACAATTGGTCCGTTGGGAGGTTGGTTCCGTCCGACTCAACGGTTTGATTCTGGAAGTATCCCCCAATGACATCTAGAGACGTGCGGGGCAGGATGTGAGCAATAATAAAAATCATGAAATACGGACGTGGAAAGGAACACCTTACCCACACAATACTCTCCAGTATCTGCGTCCTTCATACAGACATGGTCAAAAGCAGAAATAGCCCAATCTGCCCAATATGTCGCGGGATACCCAGAGAAGGGCTGCGGATCATTGGCACAACTCGTCGCGACATCATCACGATAGCTCGCCAGATCACTAGAACAAGCTGTGCTGCAAAATTCATCTTGGATTGTAGTGTTCCCAACGGATGTATAGTAGTTGCTGGTCATAACATAGGTCAAGAAGGGATCACAAACCAGTGACGCCTGAAGCGCTGTCGCACAGGCGGTCGATAGATCGGCCGTCTGTGAAGTGAAATCCGTGTTGTTGAAGAACTTGTCTGATCAGAACAATCGATGAGTGGACACAGGAGAATGAATGCTCACGCTGTCCGCCACGCCTCTCGTAGCTAAGGCCACAACACCCCAGATATACCAGGCCATAGTAGGTGTCTTGATTCTTGGAAGTCCAGCAGAAATCCCAGGAACTGAGATCAACATCTTGTCGTTGGCTTGGGGGTGTCTAACTTTCAACACCACCATAATTTCTTACCACGACCAAGTTTCTGCCATTCGCCCAATTCCTCCCAGATGTTACCTCCGATCACTGGATCCTGCGCTCTGCTGAAATTGTGCTACCGACCCCCAAATTGAAGCTAATGTACGAGCAATTTCGGTTGTAGACCCTCCCAGGAGGCTGAGCAATAGTGACTATTTCCTCACTCTGTGCATGGTGTAAATTTGTGTGGAGCTAGAAGAACTTCAAGGCCGACATATGCCGAATGGAGCCTAAGTTTGGTGGGGCCACCAGGGCTTTGCTGTACTGTTCTGTACCAAATCAGCACCAATTTGGCTCTCAAGTACTATTCTCATTCCCATTATTATAAATAGCCATTTTAGGGCGATGTACTTCGATGTTAGGCCCCCTAATTCACAAGAGGAGATCCTTGCGCGAATAGTGGAAAAAGTCCACAATTCAAGCATTCTGTATTCTGAAACAACACGGTGCACTATACCGTTTCTGAGCTAGCGTGGGGCAACTAGTGCCTATATGGCGGCTTTAGTACGCTGTATCCTATACCAAAATGGGGACGTCCCGTGCCAGACACGGGCAACCGAATATATGAAGTGCCGGCCTATGCAACGCTCGAACACTATAGGATCCTTGTGTGCCAGGGTTTCAGTCCGAGTACGAAACTAAAAGGTTCACCTAACCCTTCCGTTGCAGAATCCAGCACGAACATGAAACAATCACGGATACCAGCTGCACGTTACAGCTAAAATTTTACCGCTAATCTCGCCTAATGGATGAAGTAAAACTCAAACTACGTATCATGGCAGTCACAGCCCACATTACTCGGAAAAGTCGGAACTCATATACAGTGACGCAGCAAATGTTTTAACACCCTTGTTCAGACCGCTTTTGAGACCGCCTATTGTAAACCGAAGAGCAAGTTAATGATATTTTACTCCTTAAACATTCTTGTTTCAGTAGGAGTTTTTCATAGAAGGTATGATTCAATTAAATACACAAAGACCAAGTGTTTTGTCAAGAAACAAGTTAAAGGGTGTTGAAAAAATCCAATTTTTGACCGGCAGAATCTAAAAAATCAGAGGGGTGTTAAAACATTTGCTGCGTCACTGTAGGCCAGGGTGGTATATCGGCATCGGCTCGCATTGCTTCATTGTTCTAGCTCTAAATATAGTTCCACTACCAAGTGCAGTATGGGTGAGAAAATATCCACTAGCTCCTCCGAATATCGCATTTTCATGGCGGTTAGAGTGAAGAAGGATGCAGGAACCGAAATTATCCCTATCACGCTCGGTAAGAGTTAGAAGGAGGACTTGATTGATCTGAGCGAGCCCTATAGCCTGTTCCGAATACATGCTCTTAATAGTTGCATCTCCTTTTTTCCCCTCCTGAGGACAGGGCAAAAATATTTTCGACCGCAGTTTTGGACAGATGATTCTGCTGTACCAGATGTGGTGTTTCAAGCTCATCGCAGGATGCGCTATTGTTCTCTCGATTGTCTCGCATGCGGTGGCCGACGACCCCTCATCGGATGCGTATTCCTGCTCTGCAAGTTCTCCCTGTAAAATTGGTTGTTGTTCCAATACAGGCGTATGTGGTATGTGACACAATGGCAATATGACTGATGTGTAGAGGACATGGGTTAACATCGAAATAATGGATAAATAGGCCTCGGTCCTGATTTCTGCGGTAGCGACGTCTGTATCTCCTCCTGCGATGCAAAAAGTGATTGCGACCCAGGCTGGGGATCTGAATGGTCAACTGCGGAGACTTGCCCACTGAACGTGTGCTGCAGGTAGGGAATAAATGCCATTTGCGATGTGGACTGTTCTGGGTGAGAAGACTAACCATGACATGTCCTCAGTAAATACGGATTCTGTGGTACTACCAGTGAATTCTGTGGAAACAAAACGGTAACCCAGCCATCATGCTCTTCTGGAACCAGTGCGAGCAAGAGAGTCATCGGATACTACGAGGGATGGTCTAGCACCAGGACGTGTCGAGGCAGTACGTGCTCAGAATATTGCTCTCGAAGCATAAAAATTCTATGAGTTGGCCCCGTCTCTAATTTCTGATCTTTACTAGTGTACCCGGAGGACCTATTGACAACAGCTTATACCCATTTGAACTACGCATTTGCCTTTGTTGACCCAACGTCATTTGAGATCGCACCCATGTCAAGCGGAGATACAGCACTTTATTCTCGTTTCACAGCTCTCAAGACATATAATCCTGGATTAGAAACATGGGTGAGTTGTTTTGACAGCCTACTTTTGATCGATGCTGATCCATAAGATATCCGTTGGAGGATGGTCCATGAACGACCTAGATCAACCTACCGCAACCACCTTCTCCGACCTTGCTGGGTCCGAGAGTGCCCAGGCGGCATTCTTCAAGTCATTGGTCCACTTCATGTCTACCTATGGCTTTGACGGTGTTGATATAGATTGGGAGTACCCAGTGGCACCCGAGCGTGCTGGAAAGGCTGCAGACTTTGCCAACTATGTCTTATTCCTGAAGAATCTCAAGAATGCACTTGGTTCGGCCGGTCACAACTATGGTCTGAGTATCACACTGCCATCATCATACTGGTACATGCAGAACTTTGACATCAAGTCTCTTGAATCCTATGTTGACTGGTTCAATGTGATGACCTATGATTTGCATGGAACCTGGTAGGAAATCTTCTTTTCGACATGTTATTGGTCGTCCTTGGTAATTGATCGAAATGTTTACTGATACTCTTCGATTATGCAGGGACTCCACTGATCCTTATATTGGTAGTGTAACCAATAGTAAGGCTCCTCTCCTTGACTACTAACAAACTACTGACCTATCTCCTTCTCCTAGCCCACACTAACCTGACCGAAATCACCCAAACACTGGACCTCATGTGGAGAAACAGTATTGATCCCAGCAAGGTTGTCATGGGCATGGGATTCTATGGACGTAGCTTCACCCTGTCTGACCCCTCTTGCAAAACCGCTGGGTGTCCGTTTTCTGGAGGTGGCAATCCTGGAAACTGTTCTGCCTCTGCGGGTACTCTGATGTACTCTGAGATTCAGGATATTGTTGCCAATGGAGCTACAGTCGTAGAAGACTTGGACGCTGCCGTTGCCATTGTGACTTGGTATGTATCATTTCTTTGCCTAAATTTCAGTTTCAAACTAATATCTGTGTCTAATAGGGACGAGAACCAGTGGGTCTCATACGACAATAATGCCACTCTCAAGCTCAAAATGGATTATGCGAGTAGCAAATGTTTAGGAGGAGTTATGGTAGGGCATTTCCTCTTGGCAGCACAAAAATGGACAAAATTAACGCGCATTAGATCTGGGCTGCTTCTACCGACGACGCTTCGGGTAGTGCCATCAAATCTCTTACTAATGTGTCTGCACGCGCCACTCTCTCCGAGGCAGCTCTATTCAAGTGGCCTGGGGCCACTGCAGCACAATGTGTCTGGGGTGAGTGTGATGCTGGATGTCCATCTGGATTCCAGCCAGCAACCGGGACCGGTGGCAAAGTCAGCGGATATGCAGGTATTTTCAATGGCTGCGATAGGGGTAAGAGCAGATATTACTGCTGCCCAACCGGAAGTGTGCCTTCCTGTGAGTGGAAGGGCTCAGCCCCTTTCTGTGGTGCAACTTCTGGAGGTCGCTGCTCGAGCAATCAAGTGGAAGTGACCACGAGTACTTCTGCGACGGGCGACACCTGTTGGACTGGCCATAAGTCGCTGTGTTGCTCCAAGACGGATTCTGACGCTACAATTAACAAGTGTGGTTGGTACCCCTTTTCTTGTTTAAAATGCCTCATATCGTCCTGGATGCTAACTCGCGTTCTGCTAGAATGGTCTGGTTCGGCACCTTTCTGCACGACTGCCGGTCTTCTCCTCAGTCCTGGCGTGTTTTTCACCTCTGCAGATTGTCCCTCGGACAACCCCATTAAGCAGACTACCTCCAAATATGGCTCTGGTGGCTAGCAGCCGTGCCTTTACGATGGCGGATGGAAATCTTACTGCTGTCAAGATCCAGATCCCTGGGCAAACAGCAACTGTGCTTGGCATCAAGGCACGGACGACAGCTGGACTGGATGGGCTGAGTCGTGGATTGCAGGTGGTCTGCTTCATAGCTTGACGGCGCCTATCTTCGGAAAGGCCTGCAAGGGTGAATGTCCAACTGGCCAAGTTCCCATTGCCACGTAAGCCTAGGATCTCTCTGACCGTTTGAAGTATCTCAATTCTAATCTAACTTTGCAGAGACGGCACAAATTGTCAGCCAGGCACCTACTCCTACTATTGCTGCGACAATCCTAATGCTCCCGCTGTATGTACTCCCATACCCTTGATTAATAACTCGAAAGACCCCATGCTGAATAGTCCCTCGCAGCTCCCTACACCACAGGAGGTATCTCTATGCCCATCACCGCCTAACCTGCCCGGCCGCAGCAGTGAGCCCGATCCCGATGGAGACTCAACCGGTGTTTACCTGGAATCCGAAGAATTCGACAGCGATTGCACGCTTTACGGCTTGACCACGATCTCTTCAACGAAGCGCGATCTAGATTCTGTAACAGCGGATGACATCAAGAGATGGGAGCAGAAACTCGAGGCCCAGCGACTCACCAATACCAGAGGCGTCATCTATAATCCAAACTCCCTCTGGGAAGCCAGTTTTGACCCTCACGATACAGAAATTTCCAACCACACCCTCTTGGCCCGAGAGGCGCATTTCCTAGCCAAGCGCACCTTTGACACGAGTGCGGCTCTTGCATTTTGCGCCCCGGGTCAACCCACCACTTACATGTATCCACAAACGTATAGCGGCTACAAGACTGTTGCCCGTCTAGCTAACAAGGGTTGGATTACCATTGCCAAACCAGCCATTTGTGGCGCTATCGGTGTTGCATCTTATCTCACTCAACCGGCCAACACAAACTTCGTCACGGAACATGTCTTTGAGAAACAGTCGCTGCGGAACTATATTGAATATATGATGAAGGGGTCTCTTCCCGGTGGGGGTAGCCTCGCAGCGAAGGCGGCTACTGTCACCGGTATTTTTGACGCCACGGGCGTAGGTGAACTTCATCTCTGATATGACTAAAAAGCTGACTTCATGATTTTCTATAGATCTTCTTCAGTAGCTGGCCCAGCACATTGACCCCAAGTTGGGGAACTAGTCCAATGGCCACAGCTTTTGGAGCCCTTGGACACGCAGAGGCACCGGCAAATTATGATAACCTTCAAGTGTGCGATGCGGATCTGAACGCCATCAAGGCCAAGGTATGAGCTACTCGCCCAATTTTTAGCTTCCTTGGCACCAATATCTGATTCGCAAACTAGGTTACCGCGTGCCACGCATTCATTTCCTCCACTAGCTGGGCGGCGTTTGGCCCTCTTGAGCAAGTGTCATTCCTCGCAGATGTGATTGAGTATGTTTTCCCCTGCAATATACGTTATCAACTTGGAGAGTTGCCCACTGATATGCGAAATAGCACCTTCTCTTATATCAAGTACAGTCAAACGGCTGGGTCCTACAATGCCGCATACAAGGCCGTCATCTCCTTCTGGTAAGACCAGTGTCCTTGAAAATTGACCATCACTAATACCATGATGATAGGACGCTGTTTTCAACGCACCCTAGCGCTCAGGCGGGCTACGATTATGTAGGAGGTGAGCTACCCATTCTATCTGTCAAAAGAATATTCGAATTTTCTAATATGAGCATCCTTTCTTGCAGCATTCAAGCAGATCGTTAGCGCCGATATCGATCAACAAGTGTCAACCGCCTTGGCTCTTTTCAAAACCTACACCAATCAGGCAATTACAACATGGAATGACCCTACCAGTATGTGATCTCCACACCTATGTCTCCTGTAAAGACTACATTGCATACTAATCATATTCTAGCTATTGCCATGTATACCCCAGTCATTGTCACGGCGAACCAAGATGCGTTAGCAGACTTGAAGAAGAATGCGGCGACTTACGTTGCCATGGATAAGTTGACTATGTTGGCTTAATTTATACATCTTGTGAGGATGCTATATAGAAAGGTGGCTGAATGTGTGTAAATCAATGTTCAAGGTTTTGCATCAGTATATTCGGTAGAAGATCGGTGCCGGTGGGCCATCAGTGGGGTCACCCGCAGGAAAATACTTCAACCGATAGGAAAAAAAAGGTGCGAGGCCCGTCCAGCAGGGTGAAAAAAAAACCCTAAAACGAGGAACGAAGTGGAGGGGTTTACGTACATGTACTACCGTACGCGACCTGCTCGCAAAACTTCGCTGTGCTCCCGTCCCACTGCCCTGAGAGGAAAGGTAACGTCCTGCACGTGACTGAGATTAAACCTTATTTTTCGTGAAGATTCGTGAGACTTGCCAAAACCCCATACTGTACAAAATTTGAGGCAAAATTGCGCCGATTTCGCAATGATTGGCTCGTCGTGCTTCCGTGTTATTGGACGAATGCTTTTAGTGCCATGGACAGAAGCTTATTCTAGAAACGAACTCTAGTTTCCCGTTCTTTGTCCAATCCCCACCGTTTTTAGTGTTTGTAGCTTTCGGTTTTTGTTGCCCACTCCGACTCCAGTTGGAGCATTGGGCTTTCGGTGCTACCTTCGTTTCTTCCACACGACTTGCGTACCATAAAAGGGCCGATCCACCATCTGAGCGTATATTGTGATTAGACCTCCGCAAAGCCCATAAATGGGCCCGACCTTTAGGCCCATAGCCCAACCAGCAGTGGGCTGTGGGCCTAACCTCTATAGCCCGCCCCAACCCATAGCCCATGAGTGGGGGCCCATGAGGCCCCCAATATAGCCCATTTCTATGCATAACTACGATCTTGGCGCTCATAAAACCGCTGATTAATGCCTGTTTTTTACGCATGTTCCAGTCTGTAAGCCTTTACAAGGCATACATCGGCCCGACGTTTTACCAGGCCTGATCTAGTATTTCAACTCCCAATCCGGGGGTTCAACTCCCCCAAGAATCAAGATCTCAAGATCCAACGGCGACGACATAGTAATTAAGGTCGTAGATGAAGCCAGCTACAGTAGGCACTATAGTTTACCGGCGTCATCCAAAAAACAATCCAATTTCACCAAGTTTTCGTAGTATTCTGGTACTTAGAGAGTTCCAAAGTGTCAACATGTAGAGATATATATCTCATATAATTAGAAGTAGGTGCATGTTTCTGTTGAACTGTAGATTCAAGGGTCAAATCTATGAATTATAGGTTTATAGAGTTGAAATTTATACCAAAAGATAGCCAATCTCTCAGACTTAACGTCTGTCTTCACAGAAACGTAATATTCTGGGGATTACAGAGATGAGAGAGGTTTGAAGATATCTCATGAGCCATGGGGTGAAATGTTTTGGGCGAACAAATTGTAAAATGGGCGGGGAGATGGGTTATCCATGGACTTTTCTTGGGCTTTGGATGGGCTGAATTCACTGCATATGCATGATCTAGCCAATCAGATGCTAGAATCAAGATATTCCGTTTTAATGTCGACTGCTACGGTGATCTCTGTTTACAATATCTGTTTGCTACGGCGTCGATACGTCGACAGTTCTCTCACTAAGAAGGTATGTCGATCTCTTCCTCCTGAAGCTATTCCCCTGAAGCCCTTCATCCAATTTTGAACCTACTATCAAGTTGTCATCCTGATCATGTCGCAAAGCCAGGAGTTTAGATTCTCCCAGTTGGGCCTGTTCGACACTGAGCCCGACAATTCGTCAATTGCTACGCCTTCTCTTTGCCCAGCTACTCCGTCCACCTCTCGGCAGGTTGATAGCTTCTCGTTCGTTGAGCCGTCTGTTCCTTCGTCTATCGCCCTAGATCCCCTTGAACGCTTCCAACGTGTCGGTCCTGGTAGGAGAGGAGGCCAGTTTTTCCTTTACGACGCGATGAATCACACTGATTGGGTCAACTGGTGGTTGGAGACTGACTATGGATCTAAAAACAAGATCGCTTGGGAGTCACAGCATGGCTCCGCTTCGGAGACCTGGAAACAGTTTGAGCAAGTGGCCCATACGGCGACTGGAAACCCAAAGGTCTTGTGTAAGCGTTGCGATGCAATTCTTGAGCACCCTTATACTACTAAGAAGGATGCCAATGGGAGGGTTGGTCGTCATGGCACGACAACAATTACCCGTCATCTTCAGACCTCAGCCTGCCAAAAGGCTACAAGTGGACGCCGGCAGAGGGCTGAATTGACGAGGTTCCTTCAAACGGTATACTATCATACCTAGCTCTACTAGACCCTACTAACTAGCATCATGATCAGGGTAGTCATAGCCAGACATTCTCGCAAGAAGGTTTTGAGAGTAAAATCTTGGAGTTTATTACTACTAACCGGCTTCCATTCCAAATCGTTGAAAATCCAGCATTTCGTGAGCTCATCGCAGAGGTAAGTCCGTCAGACGCCAGTCCGTAGGCGTCAAATCGCCCAAATCCTCCAAATCCGCCGTCTTTACCAATCAGCCTCTATTTGCCTCGTCACCTAACTAAATCTTAAGTCTTGAATCTAGGCACAATCCGCCCTAAGCCCTCCGATCGTGCCCTCCGCTGATACAATTCGACGTCGCCTGTCTGGCCGTGTTAAAGAACGACAGCATGATACACTCAGAATGCTTCCAGAACATGCAAAGATCTCGATTGCGTTAGACTGTTGGACATCTCCATTTCAGCAGGCATTTATGGCTATTACTGGCTATTTCATCGATGCCGAATGGGTCTACCGTGAGGTGCTACTCGGCTTTAAACCCCTTCATAGTTCGCATACAGGTGCAAACCTAAGTGCTATTCTGATGGAGACGCTTACCGAACATGGCATTAAGGACCGAGTCTTTGGAATAACCACCGATAACGCATCGAATAATGAGACTCTGGTTAAGGCACTACAACAGTCTTTACAACAAGAGCCTTCGGCTTCGGCTACTGGTTTTAACGTCATCCGGGTCCCCTGTCTCGCTCATGTCATCCAATTAAGTCTGAACCAACTACTTCACCGACTTAAAGCACGCCCAAAGAATGAACAAGCCGAGACTGTCTGGACAGAGGAACAACAGATTAGCCTTGCTAAGGCGAATGCGGAGGCCAGGTCTAAGAAACGGGACATTGCGCATACCTTAGAGGATACGATCTCTTGCTGTTTATATCCGCGGGAGCCCTCAGCGTCGAGATCACTTCCTCAAAGTCCAACACGACCTCGACAAAGGCCAAGGCAAAGTTCCAGGGCAAGGACTTATGCCGATCCAGGACGTCAAAACTCGATGGAATTCAACGTTTCTGATGCTACGCCGGGCGAAGAGGCTCCGTACTGCTATCAATGAATACTGTCGTCAGTTCAACTGTACAGAATTCGAACTTGATGATGAACAATGGCGCCAAATTGACTATCTGATCTATCTCACAAAGCCATTCTTTGACTTTACGCTCGCCCTTTCGAAGACACGAGAGGCGACGTCGTTTCTTGTCTTCAGGATCTATAACCAGCTCTTTGAACACCTTGAGAAGTGCAAGTCGCAGCTACAACGAAAACGTGTTCCATGGAAACAGCAGATGCTTACCTCCCTCGGAGCAAGCCATTCAAAACTGTCGGAGTACTATAAGAAGACGGATCATATGCGCGGGCATATCTATGCGGTTTGTACGATGCTATCGCCGGATAGTAGATTCCAGTTCTTTTTATCTGATAACTGGGAGGATGCCAAAGAGATCCGTGAGCAGTATCGAGTGGCTTTCCGTGAGGCACTTACTCCTATCCAGGAGCGTCTTACTACTTTAAATAGCCCGCAAGTGTCTTCCTCTGGATCGATGCCAAGATCCTTCCTTCTTGGCCTGATGGCTCCCCCGAAGTCTCTCTCCAAACGCAAAGGCAAAGCTGGTAAAGCAACGCTAGGCCCGACTAAAGATGATGAGATGACGCAGTATCTCGACGGCAGTAAGTTAATCTCTATGTTTATTCTTTCTTGAGAGATGGTTTTTCGGCCGAAAAACCATCCCTATCTTCATGATACTAATTTCTTACAGGTTTAACTATATCTGATGAGCCGCTCTCCTTTTGGAGAGAGAATCAATATCGCTTCCCTGCTATTGCCGCACTTGCAAGAGATTACCTTGCAATTCCAGCCACAGGTGCTGGAGTTGAACGTCTGTTTAACACTGCACGCGATATCTGCCACTATCGCCGGGGCTCTTTGAAGGCGCAAACTATCGAAGAGCTGATGTTGTACCTCTGTACGTCAAGGTTTGATCTTGAAGTGCAAGAGGCGAAGGAATTTGAGCAGTTCTTTGGCTCTGATGAGATTCAGATCCTGGTGGAGGAGGCTCAGGCGGCTCAAAAGCCAGGTGATGATGCCGAGGAGCCAGCTGAGGTGCTAGCTGTCGTCGACGTTGATGCGATCAGTGATGCTGAAGAGCAGGGTGATAGATCCGGTGATCTGATAGATGTTGACGATGACGATGACGATGCTACTATCGCTGCGGCACCGTCTCATGCGGCACCGTCTCATGCGGCACCGTCTCAAGTGCGGACATCAGGGAGGAAGAGGAGGCATGTTGAGGATGATTTGTATGAGCATTATTAGCATGTAGATAGTTTTACCTCTTGGGATCTAATCAATCGATCTCATCAGTTGATCTCATCAGTTAATCTCATCAATCTCATAAATCAGTGAATTGCGTCGATTTCCATGAGATCTCAGTCAATTAGGGGCCTCAGGTGGTAATTGTAATACTCAAAATTACTAGGAAGGTCTACATAACTTATGCAAATGCCAAGAATTGGCATGTTTGCAATGTTTGGGGCCCATTTGGGGGCCCATTAAACCATATTGGGCTTCTACCTTAGGCCCATAGCCTACCAGTGGGCCTAATGCCAGGCCCAAAACCCGCCCCATTTATGGGCTGGGGTGGGTTGGGCTATGGGCTTTGTGGGCCGGTGCGGAGGTCTAGCCGGAGGACCACCCTCAAGTCTCCCCGGTTCAGATGTCCCATCCGAGCGTGCCACAACGCTTCAGAGGCCTGGACCACTCCTTTGCACGCACCTTCTTCGAGTATCACAGCTTCACCGCCGAGTACAGAGGTTGACGCTGCGCATTCTGCGCCACTTGACTCCCGAGGGTCGTCGACGTCCATGGCCACCGCCTACGGTTCCAGGGAATCTACATGGCCATGGGTCGCCGGCGCCCTCGCCAGTTGGACTCGCTCTCGAGATCTCTTGCTCACATGGCACCGCAGGATCAGTAGATCCCCCTCCGCGTGGTAGGCGGTCCCCACCGTCCGTCTTCGGCGTTGCACAAAGACGTTCTGCGGGTGCGCCACCACCGAGTAGCGGTCTCGCAACAGTTTCGGCACGCTGATCAGGTTCATCCCGACGCGTGGCGCGAAGTATACATTCCTTAACACCAGGGGTTGGTTGAACTTCCCCCGGAGCGTGAGCTTCACCGTACCAATCCCTTCGGCTTCCACTGGATCGCCGGCCGTGTCCAGCATCTCGCGGTGGGGCCGCAGACTGCTGAAGCAGCTCCGGTCCCAGCAGATGTGGCTGGTGGCGGCCGAGTCCAGGATCCACCGGGGTTGCGGTGCGTGAGTATAAAGGGTCGTCACCCTCGCCCTCACGATATTGACCCTCGGTCTCTTGGAAGTCGGCGGGCCCTGCCGATCTTCCATCTGGCTTGATGGTATCATTTGCAAATTATTTCTTGGTGAGCCGGAAACACTCCTCTCAGCCTTCAGGGCATGGTCCCTGGACGGCTGAGCTTCTCGCTGTTTCTTCCAGCACTGCGCGACCACATGGCCGCGCTTCTTGCAATAGTTGCATTTCTTGGCAGTCTGCTGCACCGTATTGACGGACGGGCCAGACGTTGCCTGCAAGGGTGTTGGAGCTTCTTTTCTCAGAACCGTCTGCTCAGCATTAGACAGACAGTTTCCTATCGTGGTCGGATTCACCGGATCCTTGTCGTTCTGAATGGCATCCACAACTAGAATATATTCCGGTCCGATCTGCGTCAGTAAGATCGCAATGTGCGTTCGATCGCCAATGGATCCGGGCACGATAGCATTCAATCGATGTACGAGCAACCGTACCCGATCGACAAATTCGCGGGCACTGCCGCAGCGCTCGCCAGTGGTTTCACGAAGCTGCGCAAACAACTCGCAGAACGTGGCGAGTTCCATTCGCCGGTACCGTTCTTCAAGTTCATTCCAGAGGTCGCGGGACGTCTCTAGTCCTGCGACATGAATGCTAATGTGGGGGGACAGATACCGGAAAATGGTGTGGTAGGCCTCAGCTTCGCGGCTCGACCATTCACGGTGGCGCTCGAATGCCTGGACCTCCACTTCGAGGCGCGCTTCAATGGTGCGCTGCCTCACCGCCCCAACCAGGTGCGGCTCCACTAAGGGGTGGATATCCGCCGAAATGGGTTTGGCGTACTTGAATAAACAGTCAGGACGCTGGAGGTCGCCCGACACGACATCCCAGACCTGCCTCGCTTTGAGGTAGGACGTCATGAGACGTTTCCAGGTCGCGAAGTTGTCGCTTCCTGTCAAAGGCTCGATGGCCGTGACGGCTCGGTCGGGCGAGTCGTGGACCAGAGCAGACATGGTGATGATTTGTAAAAGCGGGGTAGATATTCAATCAAGCAGGTAAAGATGATTCTCAGATGAGTAGAGACAGCACCCGAGAGTTGCTCCCGGGCTCATAACCTGTTGTAATTCAAAAGGAAGATTGAATTATTGTACCAGAGGGAATAACTGGGGCTATATATACACAAAGAGAAGATCAAGTTGATTGGAAATCAACTTGTTTCTTCGTATAGACACCTCGGGATTAATTCCGATGGTACGGCTTGGTTCCTGATCTGCACCAGCCTCATATCACAACAATTTGCAGACCGCCCTTAGGGTCTGGCCACGATCAATTGACCGCTGAGCCAGCGGTAAGTGGCCTTGCCGTGACCGTCGTTTTTGGTAGGAGCATCGCTGGCTATTTGCCTCAAGATGTTCGACGTTCGAGACTGCGTTTGACAGTGTCTGCGAGTCGCTTTCTCGCACGGTCCGACTGTTGACGAGGCCGTTGAAGTCCTCGTTGGTGGTCAGCTCGTTGGAGTTTGGATTGGGGCTCTGGTTGTAGCCGTCACCCTCGAGGGACCTCGTCAGTGTGAGATGTCTTGTTCATTCCGTTGGCAACTCCTGAGGACGATGACTTGTTGGTCTATGATTGAAGATACTTGAGACAGAAACCGGTGTCTTGCACGAATGTTGTTGGGAACACGCAGATAAGATTTGTGGCTACAGCGGTACAGACCACAGGAATACAGGCAGCCGAATGGAGAGGCACCCGGGGTGGGTGTGTCCTCACACAGCGGCTGAAGCAAATTGACTTTTTGTCCTCGGCCGTTCCGTCCAATGCCTGCTGACCCACCAGGCACGCGGCGTAACTCGGGCAGCGAGATTGTTCGATTCATTGAGCCACGGCTGATCTTTCCACGAGGTTCCAGCCCTAGAAAGGCTTAGAGAAAGCTTGTCAACTTTGCACTGGGAAAAGGCAAGGTCCGCTGCTGCATTTCACATCCACTCTCGCTTTGCTTTGGAGGACTCTGACAAGGCTGACAAGTTCAAGCACAGCCCACCCCTAAGTACGTTATCACCTCCAAGTTTCTCCGTATTTATCATCCCGAGAAAGTGGAATGGAGCAGATATCTGGGATGAGCATGAATACAACCATATAACAAAACGGGATGCCCCGAACCTCTGCTAACAAACACATTATTCCCAAACAGCGCTCAAGGTTAACGACGTCTCAAAGCGTGGCAAGAAGAAGACCAGACTGCTGTGGGTTTTCATTATCTTTCCGTACCTCTCATGCGCTAGACGATGAGAACGCCAAAAGATCGTGCTTATCTCCCGAGAGAGATCATTCTCCTCACGGCGGAGAATCTCAACCCTCGTGACCAATTATCACTCTTACGCGCCGTTCCTGACCTCGCCCGAGTCTTGACGTTCCGACACACTTCTGTTCAGGATGAAGAAGGAAATACAATCTTGCACCTTCTCGCAGAAGAAGCTGAGGGCAGACTGAAAGAGCTGCTATTAGCGAAAAGTAGTACTCAAGTGGACCTGAAGAACAGGAACGGTCAAACGCCACTGTCTCTTGCAGCTCTGTATGGACGTGAAGCGGTGGTGAAGCTGCTTCTGGAGCGAGACGATGTGGAGGCGGACTCGAAGAACAAGAATGGACAGACGCCACTGTCTCTCGCAGCTCTGTATGGACGTGAAGCGGTGGTGAAGCTGCTTCTGGAGCGAGACGATGTGGAGGCGGACTCGAAGAACAAGAATGGTCAAACGCCACTTTGTCACGCAGCTGAGTGTGGACATAAGGAAGTGGTGAAGCTGCTACTGGAGCGAGACGATGTGGAGGCGGACTCGAAGGATAAGTACGGTCGGACACCACTGTCATGTGCTGCTTTGAATGGACGTGAAGCGGTGGTGATGCTGCTTCTGGAGCGAGACGATGTGGAGGCGGACTCGAAGGATAATGGTGGTTTGACACCGCTGTGGTACGCAGCTCTGTTTGGACATGAAGAATTGGTGAAGCTACTGGTTGAACGGGATGATGTGCAGGCGGACTCGAGGGATAATAATGGCCGGACACTACTATTACGGGCAGCTGAGTGCGGACGTGAAGCAGTGGTGAAGCTGCTTCTGGAGCGAGATGATATTGACGCGGACTCGAAGGACAATGAGAGTCGAACACCGCTATCGTACGCAGCTTGGGATGGACATGAAGCGGTGGTGAAGCTGCTTCTGGAGCGAGACGATGTGGAGGCGGACTCGAAGGATAATGATGGCCAGACACCACTATCATTTGCAGCTGGAGGAGGACATAAAGCGGTGGTGAAGCTATTGGTTGAGCGAGATGATGTGGAGGCAGACTTGAAGAATAAATACGGTCGGACACCACTGTCGTGTGCTGCTTTGAATGGATATGAAGCGGTGGTGAAACTGCTACTGGAGCGAGACGATGTGGAGGCGGACTCGAAGGATAATTATGGCCGGACACCACTATCATTTGCAGCTGGGGGTGGACATGAAGCGGTGGTAAAGCTACTGGTTGAGAGAGATGATGTGGACGCAGACTTGAAGAATAAGTACGGTCGGACACCACTGTCTTATGCGGCTGGGTCAATGTCTTTTGCATCCGAGTATGGACGTGAAGCGGTGGTGAAGCTACTGGTTGAGCGAGATGATGTGGAGGCGGATTCCAAGGATAAGTGCGGTCAGACACCACTGTCGTGTGCTGCTTTGAATGGATATGAAGCGGTGGTGAAAATGCTACTGTGGCGAGAAGATGTGGAGGCGGACTCGAAGGATAATGAGGGTCGGACACCGCTATCGTACGCAGCATGGGGTGGACATGATGCGGTGGTGAAGCTACTGGTTGCGCGAGATGATGTGGAGGCAGACTCGAAGAATAAGTACGGTCGGACACCACTGTCTTATGCGGCTGGGTCACTGTCTTTTGCAACCGAGTATGGACGTGAAGCGGTGGTGAAGCTACTGGTTGAGCGAGATGATGTGGAAGTGGACTCGATGGACAATAATCATCGGACACCACTATTATGGGCAGCACGATATGGAAATGAAGCGATGGTGGAGCTTCTCAGCTCCCTGTCATAAATACCCAGCAGAAGTCCAAGCAAATATGCGAGAGGATGATCAGGCTCCAGAATAGCAGGAGATGATACCTGACGTAACGTTCCAAGTGAGAAGCGATGTAGGCTCATGGCTTAGTGGAGAGAGACAACTACTCTGAGGATATAGCTAATCTGCTGAGGTCTCTTACCCTTATACCGCGTTTGAGGCAACATCCACAGTGCTCCTAGGAGCCGGTGCCGATAAGGCTGACTCGCGAAAAGATAATTGTGAATATGCGTTCAAAGGCCGCTTCAGCCCACAACATTTAAAGGTCATAATTGCCCTTGTGGTCGATTTTTCACCTACAAGATCTTGTCATTACAATGTCCATTGAGGGAACCAAGTAATCATGGATTACAAGCTGCCACGGATATCAAACAGGCCCCTTAACCCAGACAAAGAAGTTCAAAACGGACATATATGGCAAGCTGGTATCATCCTTCTGGATCCCCTTTCTCGAGGAATCCATTGGCTGACAAGCCTGTTTCATGGAGGCAAAGATTCGGGTGAAAACTTCCAACAGGTCGTCGGCCAATTCATCCACGGAGATCGCTGCAACGCAAACCAGGTTTTGCAACCGTCTGTTGACCGGTCCCTGTCTGACTCTGTAGCTACTTTCCTTGCTAGCTCAAGAAACTCTAAATCGCCTGAAAGCTGCATGAAGGCAGGAAAGCAAGGTCTACCCCCACTGGAAGGGAAAAAGAGAGCAGCCGAATCCTCAACGCTCTCACGAAAACTGGCGACGCAAGAGAGGCAGCAAAAGGGACTTCCAAGAGTTACAGTAATCAGTACGACGACGATAAACGATACGATTCAATACCTACAAGCGGTATCTGACCACATCTCAGCTTCCGACAACATTTTCTCCAAGGAATGGCCAAGATGCACCTCGCCGCGCAATCGCTACTGAGCGGGTACGAAGATATCATCGCGAGGGAAAGAATACAGATACACGGTGTGTTGGATTGTTTTTCTTCACGGACTGAATCAGAAGAAAAGTGCCCGAGGTGTGTTGCTGCGGATGAGGAGCGGTTATATGATTGAGAAGCCCCTCGTTCTTCTTAGCTACTGTAAGAACAAACCGTTAGGAACTGAGTAAGTAGCGATAAGCGGCAGATTGCCCAACAACACTGAAAATTCTTGAACATGCTGCTTCTGCCTTGAGTGGCACTCCGCCTTATCCTCAGCTTATTTTTCATTTATCTGGATATATTGAACAAGAGTACGAATAAATACCTCCATTACGAAGACAATCTCCAGACGGTCCTTTAGTTTCATGGCCTTTCCGAAGGTGTGTTCACTAACACTGAATATACTAGGTGAGGATGAAATATTAGACAGATCAGCTGTGGGCAAAATGCCGTTCGCTGGTCTGCGGCAGGTTCCCGCATCCGAGTGCAAGAGAGAGAAGAAGGCTCCAGAATTATTTATTCAGGGAATCCTAAAACTTCCGATCTTTTAACATTAATTACCTCTTCCACGAGAATGGAAGTGCGGACGCAAAGAAGATACAAGGTATCTAGGCAATGATAAGGTGTACATGGGCCATGTTATGGAATCAAAAGAGTAAGCAATCGCACGTCCTAACTCAACTTTACCGAGATTACTGTGAGAACCAAATTCGTTCTTGTCAATACGCCAGTGGGGGACCCAATCTTGTCTTGTAGCAGCCCTCACAATTTCTAGACGCTATAGCTACCTTCGCCGTTCTTGCCAGAACAGGGAGTGACAAGGAGTGACAGTATTGTTTGAGCTCTGTCTGTATGGTACGACAATTTCTTGCGTGTGGATTTCAGTATCCGGTTTCGTGCCAAAGCCTGGAGCGTCCTCTCGCCAGGGCTCTTTTCTTTGTGAGGGCTTGGCAAATTTTGATGAAATTTAGAAGTCTAAGACTTCAAATGAAGCAA